CAATTTTATTATTTTTTATAATATAATTATTATTATTTAATATTATCCATCGACTACCCAGTTTCATCCGGTTCGAATCCGTCGAAACTCTCTTTCCCGACGTCGTTATCCGGTTCCAGTCTTTCACACAGCGGTGACTTGATTCATTTATAGGTTTTTAATAGGATAGGAATATAATTATTGGATAAATTTAAAAGGAGATCACTAATGCAAAAAGAATTTAAAGATTTCTGAATAAAACACATAATTGAAGTTGGTTTTCTAAAGAAAATTGATAATTAATTTTGCGTTTTCTATTAGAACATGCCCAAATGTTTTTTTCTTAGAAAAAAACATTCTATTGGCATTTCTATTATAAGTTAAATTTAAATTTTTAACTGGTGAATATAATATTTACTGAATTAACGTTAAAGTAATAGTAAATTTACAAACTACATGACACATCAGATTAATACAACAGAATGAATATATTATAATTAAAAAAATTAAAAAATTAATGAATAATTTACAAAAATAAATAGCTATAATTAAAATATTATTTATTTTTAGTACAATTATAAATATATTTTTATATATTGTAATGTTTATTATTTTGTTTCTTTTAATCTATTATACAACTACATTATACACTATATAATTAATTATATTAAATTTTATATTAATCTAGTATTTATTTATCGATCTATAATATTCCTAATATCTTCGAATTTTGAATATATTATGGGTTAAACTTCGTAAGATTATTAATTCCACGTTACTAATAATAAGAGGAATTAAATTAATAACTTATTGTTGTGGGTTACAATAATTCGCGCAAATATCATCTGATCCCATGGCCAGTCGGCGGTTCCCGATAATTTCTTCATCTATCCTGGGCATCAATGCGTTCGATCCTTCGCATGAGGGCCTTAGGATTATAAATAGAAACCATAGCATTCGAGTGGTGAGCTTAGCCTCATATATTCAGTGGCACACTCGAGCTCATCAAGCTCATAAAGCAAAAAGTGTAAGTTCGAGCTATCTTTATGTATCGAAAACATATAACTTAAGGCCAATGTATGAAAGAAAATATAAAGATTAATCTTCATTAAAAACAAAAACCTCTAATATATTATATCTTCACCCCCATACATATCTGTCACTTGGATTCCTCTTAACAACCTCTCCAACATCACAATTGAAGAAAGGATTGACACTTAGGCAAATAGTGCAAAAATATATTCAGAGACCATCCTCATTCGCAACCCGCTTTGATTACGTCAAATGATAATCAGACATTACGTTTGTTAATATTTAACATTTAAGTAGTATTTCGCACCTTACTAGGTAAATACTTTTGAGTTAGCCACACATAAAACGAATTCGATAGGATTACTAGAGGATTTATCAGTCGAAGATATTGCAATCTAATACATGAGCAAGATCAAAAAATACTTTTCTTAGATATATATATATATATATATATATCTCCATATAATAAATTTAATAAAATAATTATAAATATAATTTATATTATATTACATATTAAAAATAATAAATTTTATAATTATAAATATATATTATATTGTTTTAAAAGTACTAAAATATTCTCATTTTATTATTTATTTCTATAATTTAATTTCTATAGCTATTTGTTATGCAAAATTTAAAATTTATAAATATTATATTAAATTATTTTAAATATTAAACTTTAATATATTAAACTTTTGAATATTATACTAAATAATATAATAAAATTTTTAAATATTATATTAAATAATATTTTACATAGAAAGCGCAAGTTTGAATTTTGTTTTCTAAGAAAACCAAAATTCAATTTATGCTTTCTATAGAAAACTAAAATGAATTTTGATTTCCTTTAGAAAACCAAAATTTAAATTGTGTTTTCTATAGAAAACGCATTTCAATTTGCAAAAAACCAAAAACAAAATTGCGTTCTCCTTTGATCTCATATTTCTGCAAAAATCCTGACTTCAATTTGCGGTTTTGATCCAATATAATTTATTGTTTAATTACATCTTTTATCCTTAAATATATAGCAATGGTGTTCCGTTTTAAAATTTCGCCAAGGATAATTAAGGTAGCCAAAAATATAATAAAACATTCCAAACCTATGATTAAGTCTTTATAACATGTTTTCTTGATAAGAAAAATAATTTAAGCTCCATAATATAATGTCCTGGTAAGAATTTCATTTTTTAAATTTCTTTTACTTTATTTTAATTGAGGTTCAATATGAAAACTACTAATATGTGCTGATTATAGGTGTTGCGTCTTAGAACATTTGCAGCGATAGAGAAATATAGAGTTAACGTCTTAGCTTTGAATGAAGATCCAGCTCACACACATATAAAAGAGAAAGGCACAATATTCATGAGAGACACCAAGTTTTTTACGTGAAAAATCCTGAAAATGGAGAAAAACCCAGTTTAAATGAATCCACTAGTGTTACTGGTTGATTATAAATGATGCCCCACTTCGGAGGATGATGTTTGCTAAAATATACATTTTAGAGAGTGCATTGTACATATGAAGAATGAAATGATAGTTGTTCTCAAGAAAATGTTGGTCTATTAGTTTAGTTGGTAGGGTTGTGGTCAGGCGACGAATGTCGGAGAGACCGTAGTCTGCAAGTGATAGAGGTCAGAAGAATTGTAGTCGGGTGAGGGTTGTTGGAGGGACCGTAGTAGGCGAGCGACATAGGTCAGAAGGATCGTAGTCGGGTAATGGTCTAAGAGATAGTAGTTGGCAGGCGATAGAGGTCGGAAGGATCATAGTCGGACGACGTCAACTCATCCCTTAACTCAATTTTACGGAGAAGATAGTATGCTGAATGGATTTCCAAACTTCAGAAGATTTTTCCCATTAATGTAGATTGAATAATAGAGAATGTTCCATCAATGTCTGGCGATGGCTGGAGATTTAGTATTAATCAGTCATTGGGAAGTTGTCTGGAAAAGTTTAGTTGTTGGGAAAAGATCCAACAACAAACAATTAATAGCCAGAAGTTGAAGATGGTCGGTGGTAGCAGTCCAACGATGGTCGTTGGTTGGGATGAGATCCTTCATTCTCTTCTCTTCCTCCTCCCTCTTTGTGAAGAATCAGGGGTCTATTTTGCAAAAAATCAAAGATGCGTTGGGAGTGTTTCAATGGACGACCGATATCAACTTCGTCGATCATGGATCATTTATCTAGCATTTGAGTGCCTTAATAATGTTAGAATTCTGCGATCTTGAGCTCGTTGGATTTGTCTAGTCGATCCCCTTGATTCGACTATAAGCATGTCACATTTGGATATCATTTGATCATCTAATTAATGTTTTGAAGCTTCTAAATAGGCTTCAGGCCCTCGATTTGGACCCATTTGTGTTCGAATTGGACCGATTTTGGTGTCATTGGGTTCGTCTCTTCGAGACATTTAGTTTTTTAGTAAGTTTGTTGAAATTGAAGTTCTGATGGTCCCAAATTTAATTTTGGAAGTTTTGAATCATATTTGTATTGAGATTTGTGCCCTATCAAGATAATTTTTTGATGACATATCAGTAGGAATATTTTTCTTCTAATTACAAATTAAGAAATTGTACTTTTTGTTGTTCATCGTCTATCTTTTAGTGGATTTTTATGCTAATGGATACACTATTTTATGCCTAGTAGCTGTCATCCTTCCTATTCTTAATGATGGTTCTTCAACAATTATAAGTTGGAAACAAATAAATGTACAGATTGTTGATCCTTTTGCTAGTAACAGTTCTTATTACTGAATGTTGATCCCCGGATTCCTTATTGGCAAGATCTTATCTATCCTATTTATACTTATTCATATTCTTGCAATTAGTTTATTTAGCCTTGTCTTTCAAATTTTTACTATTTTAATTTTTCCTCTCATTTTGTCTTGTTCAGAGGGCACTGACTCCATTGAAAGATGGCTTTCGTCCCTTCACGACATGTGATGTCCTGAATTGATCTTAGGCTTCACTTTGTCATGATTCAATTTGTACCATTCAAAAAAAAAAAAAAAAATTAAGAAAAGCAAAATAAAAATTGAAGTGCGGTGAGTCAAAGCATTTGCTGCAAGAAACCGAACGCATAGTCAAGTGAAGCAGAAGCTCTATATCCCTTGGGAAGGTATTGTTTATTTTGCAGGGTTACAAATTAATTTTGCTTGGAATGGATTCAAGTATCATTTGCTTCATCTAAATCTTTGTTTTTTATTTGATGTGATTCTACGTGAGAATATTTCTTACTGAAACTTGCACATAACCTATATGATAATATAGATAATTCTTGTGTAGTTATCATTGTACGTATGGAAGAATCATCTGTCCAAATTTTGTTGTAAAATTCTATGTTTGGAAGGCTAGAGTAAAAGAATTTCTATTCTTGTTGAACTTATTGTCATTGATGTACATGAAGATGTTGCTGCTTGCTATTCTTTTAGTTAATAGTTTGATGATCTTGTAGGATCAAACATTGCCTTCCATGAATAATGGCCTTTATTTGATCTCTTATTTGCGTTTTTTGCCTTCAGTGCAATGATGGATGCTATTTTAGTGGTTCGTATAAGCAGGTCATTGTGTTCCAGCTTTTGTGGGGTTGCATTCTTTAATACAATTATAATTTTTTTTTGTAGGATTTTATGTATGATTGGTTGGGCTTTGTGTTCTCCAATTCTCTATAAGTAAAATAGGAGTTTTTAGCGTTGAACGCGAGTACGCTTCACGCAGGTGGCTCCACATCTAATGTGCAGGGCAATGAGAAAATATTGCTTTTAATAAATTTTAAAGATAATTTCATGTATAATACTCAAATCCTCCATATTTATATAATTAACAGTCATCCAGGTATATCTATTTACACTTTCATCACTCATATTTCGAAGAACATTGGAAGATTTCAACTATTACTTTTCACTTTCATGAAATTATTCCTTGTTTGACAATGAAATGTACAAATTTAGGAAACCTGTTGATTCATATTTTTAGGGGTGGGTGCAAGATGTATATGGACATTTTGTTTTTTAAATTCGGATGACTCTGCTGTCAGTAAGCAAACATAGGCCATAAATATGTCTGAATTTGGTTTTCAAAAAATGGTAGTAATGGGGCCCAAAAAGTGGCCACCACCAAAGTGTCTCTAGTCGCCATCTATATTTTCATCCAGATCAGTCTAGACCATGCATTCTTGCTATGAGTTGTTATTACATTTCATTGTTGCACGTAGTAATCGTTGTCATGCCGCCTGTACTTTGCTGGTTGATTGAGAGATTTAACTGACTAAGAGGTCTTCTATTTAATCATTAGCATAAAGGTGTGTATGATTTATGATTTTGTTGTATACAAATGTGCATGCCAAACTTATATCTATGCAAGATAACACGAGAAGTAATCTCCAATTCTTCTCATGACTTGGGTTGGTGAATACATAAAATTTAGTACAAATCGAGAAAGTTAAAAACCATAGAAAACGATAAAGAAAATCAACACAGAATTTTATGTGGGTTCATCCAATTGATAAGTTCATCCAATTGATATATGTCTTGTTATCATTACTCTAAGATTTTAATTCTATAATAAACTTAAATTTCATAAGATTATGTGAAAGAGGATTGTTAAACTAATAAATTTGTATTCTTCCTCTTTGATGCTTGACACTATTTCATATTCAATAAAGTAATGACTAGAAGGAAAATTAGCGAGGTGGTTGAGGATAGTGTCATTCTCAATTTGGTCATTCAAAAGAGCATGTCCATGGATGTTGGTAAGTTCATCCTTTATTCCATTAACAATATGCTAAAGGGGTCTACTGTTGTAGAGCACGGGCCCTTCTCTAATTTATCTTTTATGTGTTCAGGCTGAGGTATTAGGGAATCTTATTGAGGAGTAACTATTTCCTGACATTGTTTTAACTAAAAACAAAATTTTATCTTTTAAGATATACTCTGATGAGCCTACTGAGAGTTTTGTCCCCGTAGTAAATCTAGATATAGAGTTCTCGGTCCTTAGTAGATTAAGGCTTCGTTTGGGACGGTTTTTTTATTGCTTTTTAAAATGGAGTTTTAGTACAAATTTTTTTAAATTTGTACTAAAACTCCATTTTAGAAAGCAATAAAAAAGCCGTCTCAAACGAAGCCTAAGTTATTGATTTAAGTGAGCAATTTCAAATATACAACTGACTGTAGATGTATCGAGGAAATGGCATGAGGGAACAAGTTACAAATTTTATATTATATTTTGGAACAATAGTTGCGACAGTTCAACTATTCCCTTGTGTCTAACTTAGCACTTGCTCGCATGCTTCAAAACTATTAGATCAATGCTGGGCCAAATAAAGTGTACTTTTCTGCAGCTCCAACTAATCTCTTTTATAGTGTCCCCACTTCTTCAGTATCAACAATAATAGCAGAAGAGGAGGAAGGGGTTATGGATGATTAGCGGAGTGAAGTCATTTTTTTTTTTGTTTCTTTTATTTTTATTATTTATATTTTTAGTGTCTAGTTTAAGTTTGGGGGAAATTTTTGTTAGGAATTTTTTTTTTAATAATTTATACATCAATCATTAAACATTAAAGATAACGAGCTAATAAAATGATTCAAGATATTAGTGTGCATCTAAATTACTTCAGGACAAGTAATACGTTAAGTTTGGATGAATTGTTAAGTCAAAGAAAGTTAGTTTTAATGTGTGTAAAAGTTTCTAAAATTTATTATTTTATGTTGGAATTTTCCTAAGGATTCAAAGTATAAAAGTATAGCAATCAAGTGCTGCAACGACAACACTTAAACATTGTTGTGCCACAGGGATACAAATTTTGTCTTAAAAATAGATATGTTGGCACCGCAATGCTACAAGGAGAAGTTTTATGATTAAAAACAAATTAATTGGTGTCGCATGGGACAACATCTGCATGCTGCAACACTACCAAGTGACAATTTTTTGATGTAAAGACGAGTTTGGCGCCACAATGCCAACATTCATGTGATGTAGCGCCTTAGAGTTACAAAGAGAAGAATTATGATAAAGCATTGCAACGCCTAATTGGTAAGTGTCACAGTGCTATGGGATAGTGCCACAACATTATGGCCTGCTAGAGTAAATTAGTAGTAATTTGTGGGTTTTGTATAAATAAAGATACTACATTGAGATGAATGGTTCTACTTTTTGTCTATTTATATGTTTCTTTTCAGTGTATTATTAGTAAGGGTACCCGTATAAGAATTTGCACGGGGATTTGGGACCAATTCATTGGAAGAAAACACCGCTCCAAAATTAGATTGTTATCCACTACAGGAAAATCGTCCATTACTGACAGATTTTTCTACCCTAAATCGACATATTTTCAATGAATTTGCATGTTTCCAGTGGCTTTATGGAGGAAAAATTTCTACCTGTAAAACCCCACGCAAGAAATGAAATGCAACAAATTTTTTTGCCTTAAATCATTTCCAATAGCTTTTTGGCGGTTGTTTAGTGGATTATGTTATCATTGAAAGTGGTAGATGGACATGAGGAGTCATGGGAATCATTGCCAATAATTTTCAGTGGCATTACCTTCAGTTGCCCATCGGTAAGTTCCGACGTCTTATCTGTTGGAGATTTCGTTAGAATTTTCCGTCGGAATTTCCACCCTTTTCCATTGCATTTCGTTGTGTCGTGCCATATCAAACGTTTCCGAAAGATATTCCGCAGTAAAGGCGCCAAAAACTTACAACAATGAAAAAGAAATGGCATCCCCTTATATTGTTCCATTGTAATATTCAAAAGAAATATTTGCAACACTTAATGGATGTACACAAAATAAGATAAATTATCATCCTACAATATTGCTACTCAAAATATAATAAAACTTCTCAAAATATAAGTCAAACAACTTTAAAATTCAATCGTTCAATAGAAAAACTATTCAAAATAGTATTCAAAACTCACAATAATGTTGCATTCAAAACATAACTATAAGGTCACAATGAAAATAAGCTCTCCGAGCTACTACAACAACTTAACTATTAGGTTTTCTAATCATCTTATGTCTTCTCTCTCTTCTCAGTTACATGCTCAGGTTGTTGATCCTATCCATGCACCCTCTCCTTTTGTCTTCCTCCAACATCCTATGACCACGTAAGGCTCTCAGAGTACTGCGTCGACCCTTAAGATGATCCCTCAGCAGTAGAAGCCTAACCCTCCCAAAGTCATACAAAATAATCTTACGAGAGACTAAGTCTATAAAAATTCATTTCTATTTGCATATTATTTTTTATTACTCTTTAAAAATTGATAATCACATGAGTTTTTTTTGCCACTATCTTATAAATAGACCTACAAAGACTAATAGGTCTATAATGGCTTGGAGTTATCGGATTTTCAACTTTTGGGATCAACACTATTAATGTTTCTTTCCATCCCTCATTCATTTTTCCCGAATGAAAAAAATAATGAATGGCATTCCAAATGTCATTCTTAACAAAGCACCAAATTTTTTTTAATGAAAGAATATGTTATACCATCATTACTCGGTGAAATATTCAGTTTGGAATTGAATACCACCTCTTCCACCTCTTCCAGCAAAAGATCTTCAATCAACTTGTTCTTCTCTGTCTCGTCCAACAAGTAGTTGGGACTTGGCCAACCATTTACGCAGCAACTCCTATATCTCCATTTTTCTTTGAAGAATTTTAAAAATCTTCCAAAATATGTTCTTTTTCTTCCATAACTTTCCCATCTTCATTATGAGATTTAATGATTCCATTCGTGTATCTTCTGGCTGCAGCAAATGAATGATAAAACTTTGAATTGCTATCCATATATGAAATCCAATTTACTTTTGCTCTATGTTTCCACCAAGAGTTCAGCCTTGCTAGAATAGTGTTTAATTCGGCCACCTTTGAATTGAGCATCCATCTGTCTTGATCGGAGAGCCACCCCACCTCCGCTTCTTTCAACTATAGTATCCAAATCTCTGTTTTCAGTTCATCTCTTTTTTTGGACTTCATACTTTTTATGTTTGGACTTACTCCAAAAATATAATGCTTTCATTGTTCTTTTGAATTTGAGATTCAAAATTTCAGCAGTCACCTTTGGAATTTTTATTCCAGGAAGCTTTAACAATACCTTTTGCAGCCGGATAAGAAGCCCAAAACTTCCTCACATCTAATAATCTTCTCATATTTGAATTTTTCCTCCAAAAAATATAGTAAGACCGGACAGTGGTTTGAAGCCACTCTAGCAATGTGTTTAATCACCATTCTATTTGAAGATTTCAAAGCTTCAGTATTTAGAAAGCATATATCCAGTCTTTCTAAGATCCTGGATCCACCCACTTTATTGTTGCACCAAGTGAATTTAGGGCCAATAAAATGGATTTCATGAAAGTCATTGTTAACTAGGAATGTTTTCAT